ACTGCCACAGCTCTCCATTTCCTACTGGTTTATTCAAATAACTAGGAAAAGTACATCCAGCAGCTGAGTCCAGACAAACTTGAAAAATACAGCTTTGCAGGAGCCATTGCTGTGAGATCTATGAAAAGAGCAAAAGCCAAACTCTCACATGCAGCAGGGGATGGGGAAAGAAAGGGCTATAGGTCTGAATGTGTGTGTAGAAGGGAAAGGGCCTGGGGTCCCAAACCAGCTGGAGGGGTGGCCACAACAGCCATTTTTAAAATTAATTTTAAAAACAGAAGGAAAATAGGAATTGCAGCACTTGAAACACCCACCTGGGGTGGTGTGCTTGCTGTATTATTTTGTAGCGGCACTATTATATACCTGGCAAATCCAGGTTGGCCTGCAGAACATCTGTGCCTCTTTCCTGATGGCTCCTATAGTGTTTTTCCTCCTGGGGTTAACACAGTAAAGGGGAAAAGCATTTTTTTTGTATGACTTGGATGCATCTCTGCCAGCTTGTTCTGGGCCTGTGGGAAAATTGACCAAGTTGAAGCTGCTATGAAGGGGCTACTCAATCATTAGTGCACAGGGTGTCACAAGCCATGGGATTTCAGTGCCTTACTCCAAGGACAGCTGAACAGTTAATAAAGCAAATCTTCCTGAAAGACACCCTGCTTTGATATATTCAGATACACCCAGTATCTGAATCAAAATACACAGCTGCAACAAGGGCTTCCTGCCACGGATATGCAAATACTGAGATTAGTGCAAATCACAGACCTCCTCGTACAAAGCAAACTGTGACTGCTGTTTACCTCCTGACACAGAGCACCCACAGCTCCAAGGCTTCCCTCTTCGATGGCTTTTGTCAAGTTGGCACAGAGCTGCTCTTGAAAGCTTCTGCTGAGCAATAATTTCTGCACCTTGTTCCAGTGGTTGCCCCTTTCATGTGGTCCCCCCAGGAGTCTGTGCTGCCATGCCATGAGATAGTTTTAGGTTTGTCTAGCTTCTTCAGGCCTGAACCAGACTGTCTAAAAAAGCAAGCCTCAGTCCTTCAGCAGTTTTTGTTACTTTTTTCCCCTGCCAGGATCTCACTGCTCTTCTGGAAACAAACAATTCCTGGGGCTGCTTGTTCAAAACACACATTTTGCAGCCTTATTACCATAGCAATTCTTTCCAGAGATTATTTCTCCATATGTGATTGGCTTCATGCTGTGAGCAGCTCCGAGACTGCACGAACGGTTCACAGCTTCTTCTCCCCAAGAGGCAGCAGGGGAGTGTGGTCCTGGCTCCCCCTGCACCAATGGAGACGGTGCTGGAAGCGATGCAGGAGTTGATGGGCGGAAGAGATGTATAAACACGGAAGCAGCGTGCCTAATTAATGACCTGAAACCAGCCAGAAAGGTCAGTTTGTTTGCGGGGGACGCGCCCGAGGGACACGTGCTGAATGCGAACTTCGCCGCCGCGCCTCGGAAAGGGCATTGCTGCCCTCCTGGGATGGCAGCTGACGGAGGGGGAGCCATCAGAGGAGGATCGATAGCCGCCAGCCTCACTCACTGGTGCGCGCCCAGGCTATCCCCCCTTGTCTGGCGAGCCTGGTTCCTCGTGGGGCTCTGCTGAGAAGCCAGGCTGCCTTCCGGGGAAAGGGCAGGCTCCTGCAGATCTTCATTGTGCGATGCTGCCAGAGAACAGGCTGTTTTCTGGGCTGTCTTGTCAGACACTTGTTGACTAATTTTGAATTGCAGAGTCCTAACAGCTCATATCAATGCTGTCAGCAGCATACATTCAAAAATTGAGCATCTGGATGCCAACACCAGGGGATTGATATAAAAATGTTATTTACTAGCTGGTTTTTTGCCCCCATGAAGATTTTCTCTACAGTCTTCCAGGGGCTAAAAATTCAAATTTCTTGCCTAATCCTAGGGCTCTGGGAGTTGAATGGGAGCCTTTATGAATATTCCAAACTATCATCAGGAATGGTATAGACTTGTAAAGATGACTGTCTAGTAGGTCAAGGTGTGCCACGGGTTGTTGATTGAGATCATCAGGGTCCTTGCCAGCCCTGGCAGTTTCTGACCACCTTTCATCTCAAGAATTGTGCAGAGCCATGTGGTAACCTGCAGAGAAAATCAAGGGGAGAGCTGGCATTACTGAGTCACTTTGCAGACAGCGCTGAGCACTTCTGGTGTCAATAAAATCACAGAGATGTCCAATGCACAACAATGGTGGCGGTGCGAGGAAAGTGCCTTTGATGAAGCAGGTTTTCTCTCTGAGATGAGTACAATGCCATCCCAGCTGTTCCCCACTTGCAGAGAGCTCTCTTTCTAGCAGTGTTTCTGGAACAAACCCTTTTTCTTCTTCTTTTGGCCTCATATGTTCCCCTTGTGCTCTTTGTCCCAGCAAAGAGAATTGATCAAAGCTCTGCTTTTGCAATGCGGTGGCTTAGGAGCAATGTTGTTAGCTGGGTTTAGCTTCAGGCAGACTGAAGGTGTCTAGCTACAAAAAGGGACAGAAAATCAAGGCAGCTGGTCATATTTTGTCATTTAAATCATCCCGTGTTGGGGAATGCAGGAGGCATGGGGGGAAGGCAGGATGTTTCCAGAAAAGCACCAGCCCAGATCTGGAACAAAGTATCTCAGACAGTGCCTGGTCGCCTTAGTGCAGGTGTTACAGCTGAGCTCAGACTGATCACAGAAGGGGTTATCCATGCAAGTGAGACATGGCCTGCAACCCTCCCCTCTCTGAGTCCTTCCACCAAGCAGTGACCAAGAAGGCTTCTGCCAGGGGTGATGCAGATCCCACATCTGAGGGAGGGGAAGACCCTCAGCTGGGCAGAACAACACCGTCCTCCTGCAGACCACACCAGTCCCCTGCGGCCAGCAGAAGGCAGGAGTTGTTCATGAAGTCCATCATCTCCTTGACCTCCCACCTGGCCTTGCCACAGACTTAGGTGAGTCCCTTCATCCTTGCAGTGAAGTCTGTGGTTATACATTGCATTTACTCTCATATAGAGAAGTTTTGTGTGGGCATATCAGTCGTCTTGGATTCAATTTATAGATTACAAGTCACTCTCTGCAGATTGCCCTTTTCCCAGGCACACCAGTGTAGTGGGTACTGCACTCCTTTGCTCAGACAGTGGGATTCCCCCTCATTTTCCCAGCTGTGTGTTAGCTCCAGAGGCTGTGTTCTCTGGCTCCCAGACCCTGTCTGTCCCATTCCTGCTCCCTCTCTTGGGCGTAATCACTCCTAGGCCTGGCTTATAACATGGTGTGTGGCACAGGGACAAAGATGACAGGGTTTCCTCCATCTCGCAGAGGAAATACATTCATTGGCCGGGGCATTCGGCACGGCGATTAATTGAGAGCAGCCTGGATCTGGAGCACCAAGTGAGCATCATTAGAGTGTGTGAGTGAGAGGACCGGGGCTGGAGTCTGGGTGAGTGATCTGTACAGGCTGAGAGCTGGCAGCGTCGGGGCTGGGCGGGACACCCGGAGCGTCACTATTGCTCCTGTGCTGTTACAAAGCTCCCATGTTGCTGTTGCAGTCATGCAGGTGCATGATGCCAACCCCGGTGCTGTCGGCGAGCACCTGGGGAGGCTTTCCAGGTGCGAGGCACCCTGTGGGAGAGCTGCCTGCTTCCCCTGGGGAGAGAAAAGGGGAAGGTAACGCGAGGGCTGTGTCCAGGAGCGCGTGTGTTGAGTCCGTGCTGTGGAATGGGGGCGCCGTG